TTTGAATACATGGAGATGGACACGGACAGCGCTTACATCGCTTTGAGCGCGAAATGTCTGTCCGATGTCATTAAACCCGGCAAACAGTTGGCGTACCAGCACCAGTTAAAGGGGCTCTGTGGTGATAATAACCCGCACGATAGCTACCTCACGCGTTGGTTTCAACGCAGTTGCTGTTCTGTCCACGCCCTTCACGACAAACGTACTCGGGTTTATTCAAACTCGAGTACGAAGGAGACGAGATGATCGGACTGTGTAGTAAAACGTACTTGGTGTCACAGTCCAGTCTTCAGCAAACTCCAAAGCCAGCGCCGAGCTCGAGCGTACGAACGGCACAACGTTTACTACGCCGAGCTCGCCAACGGCTCGGTCGCATCAAGCCCGTCAATAACAAGGCCCGACGCCTCCGTTCAACCACCCCTATCGTCGGTCATTTCGAACGCCGGGTAAAATTCTCCTGTAAAGGCATCTCAAAACGCACATTGAAAACACCACTAAGAGCGTTTAGAGATGTTTTACGTACGCGAGTACCCGGCGAGGGGTTGAACAGAGGTTTCCGACTCAAGGGGAATATCATGTGTTCCTATCAACAGAAACGTCAGGGGTTGAGTTATCTCTACTGTAAACGTCGAGTGTTGAACGACGGCATTCACACGGCACCTCTCGACCTCGAGCTTTGTCCCTGGTCTGCCCGCGATGGTAGGTTGGATGACACCGACACCTTTTTAGCCCAACTTTTAGAAAATTTAGCTGAAAATTAAGAAAAGGTCATCCCTCTTGCGTTCCCTCAACTCCAGTAGTGTACATATTGTAGTTATTTATATATATTTATTTATTATTAGAAGCATATTGTGTTAAACATATCAAGTATTTCTATCAAAAGTATTCTCTTTACCAGCTGTGATATTTTGGTTTCTCAAACCATTTTCCTATAATATTATTATAAATTAAATTAATGTTTGTCAAATGTATATACGTGAATAAATCTATGTTATTCTGGAAAGTGTTCGTTGTCTTGTCTTATGATATGTATGTCTACTTTCTAGAAGTCGTGTATGAAAAATAATAATACAGCAATTTACATTCAAGCCATATCCACTGGAACGGAATGTACCGTCTATGATTCCGGTAAAGAATACACTGTGAGAAAATAAGACTAGTTCCCTTTGGTGTAGGTGAAACGAGGCTATGACTAAGTTTCATGGGAACCATTCTGTACAGTCTACTCCCAGTTGTGAGACTCCCAGTTGTGAGACAGTGGACTAGGTAATTAGCAAAGAAAACACACCTTACTCCCCTATCTGATAGAATGGATTAACCCCAGCTAATTATGGATTAGCTATTAACTGAATCTTGTGGAGGTAACTTAATAAAACTCTAAAAGATAAAGTAATTAACCTACTCAGATAAATGGCTTTAAAAAATGACTGCTCTTTCGGATCACCATTATGGCAGGCCTTCAACAAGTAGAATATATCGCCAGTTCACGATAAACTATGCCTCCTGCGGGTACTCTTCAGCAACAGGGATGTTCCCATTTTCATCGTAGGGATGGGGAAGCACCACCTGTGTGCACTGAACCATTAATTAATGTGTCTCACAACTGGGAGTTCTCACAAATGGGAGGACACCTTCTGTACCGAGAGCGATGCTTTGTGCTATTATGTTTATTGTTAGTGAATTGGGGTGTACGCAGGATGCTTATTGTAGGCGCCATGGGGACAGACCCTTTAAGAGCGATCTCAGCGTACTGCGTCTCTGCATACAGCAGAGCATTCGCACAAACAACATGAGACTACCATGCTATCTATTCAGTGTTTATTACTTTAACAGCTTGTCATGATGATACATATTCAGACAATATAGGCATTATAATACATTCCAGTGGCAACATGAGACAAACTTTATATCCATTCACGTTTGAAACTAACAACTTGTATAATCACATGAGAGATTCAATACTATTTTAATAAGCAGTTTCCAATGGTTTGAACTTCTTCGCACCGGGAACACCGTGCTTCACTTTGCCACGCACGTACATGGGCTGGGTTCGTTTTCTCTTGCCTTTTCCCACCTGAGAGTAAAACGCTTGCGAGTTGGGTAGTTGTGTTAGTTGACGGGTAAAGGCTTGATATCCAACATCTTTTCTATCGCCACTCTTTAGCACAAACTGTCGAATGCAGTCAATCACATTAGAATGTTTTATAGGGTCTCCATGTTCATCCAACCATTCGAGTTTAGCATTCCAGTTAATGCGACCGAGTTCTTTCTGCTGGTTGAGATACTGCCATAGGGACACTAATTTTCCCTTTTGCTCGTCCGACTTGACGTGTTGTAACAGTGGTGTTAGGACATCGTGGCTTGCTGTTGCATTTCCTCCTCCTGTTAGCTGGTCGTGTGCTGAGGCTATGATATTGTGTATGGACGCGTCACGCTTCACGTCTGGTTCCTCAGCTGTAGTGTTGACTACTGGAGTCTGCTCCTGCTGGGGGGATAGGGGCTGGTGGGGGTTTCAGGATCGGATGGGAGCCGCTTTCCATCTTCGGAGCAGCTTGAATCAGACGTTGGTAGGTCTCGCGAGATAACAGAATCATGGGTTTCGTCATGGTCCGACTGATAAAAATATCGATCCAATGCTCGTACACAAGGTGGTAATATAAAGTGAAAAGAAACCAACAACTCCCTTTTAGCTCGATATCCTCCTTGTTTGCTGTTCAGTAGCCGAATAATCTTCCTGTACCGATACAAGGTCTTTTTCTCATGATCCGTCACGGGAATGTAACCGATGATGATGTTATGTAACAACGTGATGATCACCTTAAACTGGGGTTTGGTCAGATGAGACAGTAACGTTTTACGCTGTACAGGCTTAGATTGTCTCAGAACGTGGAGAAAATCCACATTGTCTTCAATACACCGACTCATGGTGTGTAGCGAACCTTTTTTGTAAACGTAGCACGTAGGTCCACCGTATAAATTAGGTAGATCCAACCCCGTTCGCCAAGCTTGTCGAAGTGAGTTTACGCACGATTCTTTCGATGAAAACCACGTAGAGCTCTTTTTTAAAACGATCTCTTCAGTCCGAGTAGCTCTTATCGATAAGATAGAGGGTGGTGGGTTACACACGATCTCCCAAAAGTAGACCTTGCTCATAGCACGGTTGCTGTAACACTGACCGAGCTATCCCATGCGGATCGCTTTTTATTTAGGAAAATAGACGGTGCAAAGTTCATTGGGTAAGATACCGGTGCGTAAGCGTCCGTATTCCGGGTCATTGTACGGTGAAGCGTCAACGACTAAGTAACCGTATTTCCTCCCTTCCACGGCATCCTTATAGGATTCCGAAAAATACTTGCTTTGACCTGGAAATATTTGCGAGGCTAAAATCTTGTATTCGTGCGCGGAACGGGGATTGCTCATCAAGACGAACATATGCGTATTCACACTGACAGTCCGTGAACAGGGACCTTTAGGGTAGACGGACTGTAGCAGATTGATTACGGTAATGCCCAGATGATGCGACAAGGTGGTGTACACGTTTAACATGAGTTTACTGGTACATATATCCATCATGAGATCGTCTAACACGAGAATCATGTTTTTGTGAGACTGATCGGACCACAAACGTAAATCGTTTTCGTTAGGCAAAGATTCGTGAAACTGAATGTTATCAATAGATTGCTGCATGTCGGCGTACAGATCCTGCCACACCCCGTAACAGTATACAATTAGGTTGGGTGGCTTATCAAACACTGTACTGGTATTCTGTAACAACCGTTTCGTCCAATAGGTTTTCCCGCTACACGTGCCCCCAATCACGGACAAAGTGGTAGGTGTGACGATAGGGAGCAAACATTTCTCGGACATAGTGTTAGCTCACGGAGTGCCTGTCTAAACTGATACATTCTATCACTGGTGTGGGTTATTTATGCAGCTCTCGGTATGAGTGGCTGTTGTTGCTGACGACGCCTAGCCAACCTTTGGAGAGCTCTTTGGGCTTCGTCTCTGACCTGTCTGACATGTTCATACTTGAATATAAACCGAATCAAGGGAGTATGGTTTAACAGGGTTCGCTTAATGCTTCTACCCGTTGTCTCCGCTCGAGCGATACGTCGCAACATCCTCAAATAATTGTTGTGGGGATTAGGCTGCAAGAAACGGCGTTGCTCTCCACGCGTGATTGGTATGCGAGCATTGAGCAGTCGCTTTACAATGGCTTTAGTACCCTTGATTTGTTCGTTATTCATGGCACGAATATCACGCAAAGTTTCTTCGTAATCATTCAGTGAAAGAAGTTGTCTGTAAAACGGGTAATGTCTCAGCACATATCTCGCCATGACTGTCTCGAACGATGTCACACTCGAGAATGAAACTTACTCGTGATACTTCAGTCTTAAATAATCATTCACCCATCCATACATAGCATAAAGAACTGAAACACAATAGACATTTTCTCTGTTTTTTATTTGCTCGTCTACCACTCTACAGGAACAACGATCGTGTTATGTCATGGAACATGTTAAACAGTACTTAAAGTAGTCACAGATAAACTGAGTGACATACGCATCATTGCGTGCTTTGTTTGTACTAAACATATGTACGATATCACGTAAAGTAGCGCTATTTCTACATTTCTGTAACGAGTAATATAAACAATAGAATCCACAAGCACTCGAATTAGAGTGTTGTAAAACAGTCGCGTTATATCGAAAACTGCGAGAATGTCTCTTGACAAAGTATTCAAATTCACGATGATAGTAACTCGGTTTCTGTCCGTAACTGTCAAAAAACTCGCCGACTCCACTCCCGTCAAAGTAGAAAGCGACCCAGTGTTGTCCCTCGCCATGAGCTTGGTCCGTGTTAACCACACATCCCCACGGTCTTCCACTGGTAGGTGAAGCGATGCTAGCTATGGTATCTCTCGTATACACACCCACCATGACACTACGGAGGCTGGGATCGCTACGGATGGCACACTGTAACTGTTGTTTGTACATGGACTACTTTAGAAACACGTTCTGGCTTTGGTCGATTTCGATAAGTGCCGGAAACTTGGCCAGAGCGATGACGTTGAAGGTATGGGCGAGCGCCTGAGCAAACTGGACTTCTAGTCTCAGATTACCCGACTTGAGCAGGTTCAGATATTCCGATCTGTCGGCTCCGATGTCTTGCAGGTTGAACACGTACAAGGCATGACCTATGGGAAATTCCGTGCGGTCCAAGTTCAAACCTTTGTCTTTGCGCCATTCGTTATTCCAATCGTACAGGCTAGCGTAAGCCTCGATGTCATCCGACTCAAACGGGCGTCCTGGTACACTGGTACCGTTCAAGTACAGTCCCATGCTTTTAATGATGTCTCCTTGGAAACAGAAGGGATTAGCCGTGTACGATCCGTTCACCCCATTGGACCTCACCAAGGCGACAATCAGTCGACTGGGAACTTCGTCTTGAAACATGGCGTCCCAGTTAAAACTCAGACTGGACGAGGCGACCGAGGCCATCTTGACCACGGATCTTTCGTAGGGGTACATGGCATTACCTTTCTCGAACTGTTTGTTGTGGGCCACGATGAGAGCGTCGTTGATTCTGAGTTTGCATACTTTCAGGTACACGTCTTGCAGTTCGACGGTGTAATCCTTATCGGTCTCTTCTGACATCAAGACAAAGGATGTGCTGGAAGGAAACAGTTTGAGTCCCACGTCCACACCATTCACCAGTTGACGTTGGAAACCGAACATGTCTTCCATGATAGGTCCTGTTAGGGTGAGCGACTTGCTTCCGGCGATAAAACCTCCGCGGTTGATGAGCCCGTCATTCCCACCGGCGTAGGGGTCCCCGGAGTTGAACTCGTCTACGGTGACACCCGAATCTTTGTAATACAGCTGAGTAGTCAGTTGGCTGGTCTGAGCATCTGTTCCATAGTCGAGAACGGTTTCCATGAGGGCTTTGTAAGGGTAACCGCCATTGCTGGAGCTGACCTGTTGACCCTGTAGGAACACGCTTACCTGACTCCACAAGCTTTGCAGAGTGAGGTTGACGGGCCCTACTTTTTCTTTATCGGCTAATGGTGTTTTGTCGGTATGAGTAACCTTCAGTTTGACGTGAAGTCGAGTCTTGCTCAAGTCGATGTAGTCTTTCCCGCCGTTCGGGAATGTGAAATTCCACCGGACTGGAATCGGTGATGACAGACAGGGGGTCTTACATTCTCGTAATAGTGTTGCAGGATGCTTGTTTGATAGGGAGGCAGTTCAAATAAATCTAAGCTATTTGGCAGGGCTTCGGTAAACTCTTTCTCCGTCAGTACAGACATGGTTACTGGTTGAAGATGTCTCTGGGGTCGATAGCGGGAGTATCTTTAAACTCGATGAAGGATCGTTTGGAGCTGTTACCTTCATGACGTACTTTCTTCGAAGTGACAATCTTGTCCCCTGCTTTGCGTTTTACAGCCTTGGTTCGCTTCTGAGCTGCCTCGGCTCTCTGGACCATGTTCTGATTAGGCGATGTCATTGTTATGTTCAAGTTCGAGTCGCGACTAGGTGGTACTTTGACTCGGGGTGCGATGGGAATGATACGCGACCTAGGTCGACCTTTGATCAGCTGTTTTCCCTCGTGCTTACTTCTGCGATCTACTAAAAAGTCCACAAACTTCTTGGTGTCGGGAATGTACAGTTTCCGTTCCATCGCGCTTAACTCAGAAAGGGATACCGTCGCAACACGAGTGATACGTTCACGGTCTCTCTCAGAAATGAATGCGAGGTTCCTTCTGCACACTTTATATACACTTCGATTTCCGAGGTGTCTCTCACGATGATGGGTAAGTACCAAGGATAATGAAAATAATAGTTGGGTCCGTCTCTCAGATCGAGCCGTCTCAACAAAGGCAGATAATGTTCGCCCACGTGTGAACTATCGCATAGATTACACAACACGTCAATGGAGGTATTATTGGTATCTTTCAACTCCAGTTTGCCTAGTTTCATTTCTAACAGAGCCACCATCAAATACTCCTGTGAGTCTGCACTGTTAAACACGATGTATTTATCCATTTTACTTATTCTTCACTTCGCTTGCTTCTACCCAGGAATCGAAACTCGATGGCCAACCTGCCCACCTGACCAAATAGTACACTTTCCCTTTGTCTTTCTTTTTCTTTAACACTTTTTCAATATCCCATGCGGCATCTAGATCTTTATCGACACGCTGTAATTCTTCTTCATAAAAGCACCCCTTTAAGAGCTCGTCGTGAAAATCTTTCAGTGTGTATAATGGGATGGTTTGTCGGTGATGACGCGTTGCTACTTGAAATAATTCTTCCGTCCATCGCAAGTTGTGTTCCTTGGCAAACGGCTTTCTCAAATAACTGATTCTCACGATATCCCCTATTTTATACTTAAATGAACGGGACTTGTGTGCGATGAATGTGGATGGATTCATGTATAAATGTCCCCATACTTTGACTTCGTTTTGTTGGTTCACTTCTGCAGGGGACCACTCGCCTAAACTTCTGTGTACGGTGTGATTGTAATTATATACTAAATCGACTAGCACACCGATATAGCGCTGTGTGTTCTTGTGTGTTAAATACCTCGCTATGAGCGACCTCAACGTTCGAATGACCCTCTCGGCGTAATTCGCTTTAATGTCTTCGTTGTGAGTGACGAACAGTTTGATGGACTGACGCTCTATAAAATCCTTGAAAACGCCTTTGAATTCTGTACCTTTATCCACTCTGATGGTTTGCGGCTTGCGACCGTGTGACAGAATGTCTTTGAATGCCTGCACGATGGACTCGGGCTTCTTGTTTCTTAAAGGGGCTACCCACAGATAGCGTGACAATATGTCAATGGCTATCAACACATAACGTATACCGTCGTTGGCTTTAGCATAGCGACTCATGTCCATCAGATCGACATCCCACTGTTGATCTATTCTGTTAACGAGTACTCAGAGGCGTTGAAATGTGTGTTTCACCGGCTTATGAAGCGTGTAAGCATCGTGCTTACTCAACTCGGTTTTTACCTTGGATGCAGTAACCTTATTCCGTAGTCTTTTCAAACTTTGTTGAAATTTGGAGGCACCGTAATACGCACCTGGGGACTTAGGGTTAAAGTAATAACCCTCTAAGGCTTTTCGGTGAGACGATGACATGTTTCTATCTCGTGAGGTAATTTCAACTGTAAACCTCGTGTAGACCTACTCTCTTTTTTTTATACACATCGATGATAACAGACACATGAAATGTACAATACTATCGTTTTATTACATATAAGACAAACATGATTGTACAGGTATTGAAATAACAACATGTAATTTTGAATGATACACAGCAACATACAGTTAGTTCGCCGGAATGCTCTTTCTAAATACAACATTTTCCATACACGGTCTTGTATGTCTTTTAACCAGTCAGTTGTTTTAAAGTGAGTGTCCAGATAATCTTTACACCGATACTGATAGATGACATGGGAAGTCACGCTGTTTAGGCTCGGATCTTCGTGAATGAGTCGTATCCATTGATCGATCACACGATCGTCATTCACTTCGTCTAAGGCTGTGTCCATGTATTGGTGTATTTTGTGTTGGTCGGACAAGTCCTGACACGTATGGTACTGACTGTCAGTTTGTTCAAACATACATCCAAAACACAGTTGAACGCTGAGACGTTTGATAATTTTGCAGAGTTCCAAGGTATAACATAGCGCCAGTAACGACAGCATGTAGTCAGTCACTTCAACAGATTCTACTTCGTGTACGATGATAGCCTTCATTTTTTTAGTAATGACTCGTTTTAACTTCTTATCCTCGTTGGGGACTTTCGTCTCGGCATCTTGTATACAGTGTTCCCGATGTTGAAACCATTGAGTTGACTGTCTAACGACTGTTTCGTGGATAGGATCGGGTTCGCGTTGCACGTACTTCCAGGTGAAGAAAGTCATTCTTTCACTCAACATTCTATATAGGATGCTAGTTCTCTTTCTCGGCTAGCATGCAGGGATGGGTGCGACTCGTAAGGAAGTCTCATCCCTGAATGATTCGCTATGCGCGGTGTACCTTCTTTTTATATCTGTTATATTTAGAACATCTGCTGCACAGCTATAACATACTCACACATTGAATGCTCTTCAGTCATCCAAAAGATGGATTTCTGCTGCTCATTTGCATGGCTCTAGGATAGGGTACACCTAAATGTTTATTCGATATCTGTTGTCGACACACATCTGTTGTAGGTGTTGTTCAACTAACTCGTGACGGTTGAGACTTAATTCTCGGATTGGGAAGGAGATATCCGAGAGAGCAACTTAAAAGCGCAGTCCATAAATTCGAGTTTCCTTTGTCTAAAGATAAATTCACGATGCAGGTAATCACTACGATATAAATAATGAAAATTTGAGAGAAAAATACAGTTTCTGGCTTGGCTGTCTTCCTACCGAATAGTCTCCAAGGCTCTCCAGAGCTACTCCTAGTGAGAGGTTGTGCCTCTGCGCGCTCCTCCATTCTAATGAAGCGACCTTTGATGGTTCATCGCTTATATTATAACATTGCCGAGTTCAATCCACTGTTGTCTCAAAGCGTGGTATTGTGGATAATCGATACAATAACATAAACAGTCTATGTCTAAAATATAACTTTCTGTAGCTTATTTGAGTTCACTATAACTTACACATACTTCATGGATTGTATACTATACAGTCATCCAAGTAGAGCACTGACTTTGAGGAGCTGGCGCCATTCTTCCGGCTTAAGGGCTATGCCTTTACGCATGGGTTTTAATTCTCGTTCACCATCGCGTAGCCACCACTGCCGTATATCCACGATTTTGTTGGGTGAATTCATGGTGAGGAAAACGTTACGGCTTAACGCTAGACAGACAGAACAATCTTCCTTGGTTACGATTTGAGATAACGAGTCTGAGACAGTGTTTTCAATAACCTTCAGCTGCGTCCATTGATCGAGAGATAAACAAATACCTGTTTTGGTGGGATAGAGTATACCTTCAGCACTCCATTCGTATTGACGAAGGTCTATTTTCCAGTCTCCACTCCAACGGGTGGTCTTGATGTAGCGACTACTGCCGATATGAAACATGTTCTCTCGATCGTCTCTCTGTTCTTCTGATGAACCCACTGCTTGTTTTGTGGGTTCCTGAGATGGGCTTGTACTGCTCGTTGCCATGACTCTAGGATAGTGTTGTGATCTTCTAGGTAGTAAGCAATAACACTGAGCAAAGTGAAAAGCATTCAGCGTGGTACTGAAGACTTCTATGTTGTAAATGATTCACTATTCGACCGAATCTGTTTCATATATCGCGGGTGTGGTCACGTGACGTAGACGTGTTGAAACTTGTCTGATAGGACTATTCTGACGAATGATTGACATATAGTAACTGATCATTCAACGCACCCGTGTATCTCGCTGTAGACATGACTGACGGGTTGGGATAGGGACCACCCATGTATGCCCACACGGGAAAGGACATTGAACCTTTTCCTTCACAGCCCTCAGTTCACACACCGAATGGTACACACACCTGCCTGTTGCATTGACTGTTCAGTCATGCATGTCGTCCTCCTTGAGTACTGAGTATGCTTTGTGAAACTATGTTTTTTCAGTCTGATCACGTTGCCTATAATGTGATGCTATCTACAACTGAATCTGGATTTAGTTATTTTCAAAAAAACGTCACTGATATTTTTGCGAGTTCTTTTTTATTGGACTGAGGTATAACTATCTTTATTTTATACGAGCCAACACAGTTTACGCATTTTGAAATGATGAGGTGGGAGGGTGTCACGTCCTAAATTTCTAAAATCTGTTCTCTGTCTGAACAGGGCACGCCAGAACTGTTTCAATAAGCAGATTCCTATTTCTATTTTTCTTTCGTTTCTCTCCAAATGATGTGACTTTCATGGTATTATACGTGTGCTATATGATATTGATA